GGACCCAACCCTATATTCCATCATATTCTCAAGGCAAAAAATAGCGAGTCTTTGGCTCCATTGCAGATGATAGAAATCAGCTACCTGTTCAGTCAATTAAAAAAATACCAGATTATAATAATCCGAACTATCTTATGTCGACTTCTGTTGGACCAAAAAAAACTTAAAATTTGAGTAAATAAAATAGAAAAGGTCGAAAAAATTATAAAAAATTATTTTTACTTAATTAACTTTTTAGATAGTTTGTAGAATTAAAGAATACAAAATATATAATTATAGAATATAAAAAAACTTATATAAATTTCAAAATTAAAATTTCATAACATTTAAGATATTTTAAGTATATAAAGGAGGGAAAAAAGGTCAATATAGGATTATTATTTTCACATATGAATGCATACAAAATAAAAATGTTATATCGAAATAATGCCAAATGAATGGAATGCTCCAGCTTTTACATAAGAGGTAAGAGGTGCGGTCTTTGGATGTTTTTTTTGGATTGAAATTTGTTGGTATGATCTAATCTAGTCTGGTCTAACCTGTTTAAGTTTTGTGTGGTCTGGTCTGGGTAGTAAATGTTTGGTCTCTGTTTATTTTATAACTGTCCAAGTCTGGTGTGGTCTTGTTTGATCTGTCTAAGTCTAGTCTGATCTGGTCTTAGCATTTTAAGTTTTGTCTGATGTGATCTAATTTGATCTTGTCCGTTAAAGTTTAATCTGATCTGGAACCGAAAATAATCCAAAAGAAACTATGCTTTCTCACACCTAAGGTGATTAACAAATCCTATTATCGGTAAGTAATTGGAAATTCAGAAATTTCCTAATCTTTGATGGGCAGTTCCCGAAATGCAGCTGAAACTCGTTTCTAACTTCTCCAAATTACAGAAACGGGCCCAACACGTGTTTCTCACGTTTCTTCCATTCGGAAACGCTCCAACGTTTCTGAAACGGGGAAACCTTTTCACGTTTCCGTGCATCCTAGGTTGTTTTTGTGTTCTGTTCTCTTGTAATCTTTCCAAGTGCTTATCACTTTATTAATGCTTTAAAAAATCACTAGCAGTTGTATTTCCTCTGCTCTTTCCTAATTTTATAAGATTTTCATTCATTATGTTAAGAAGAAAATAATAATATTACTCCAACCCAATGTCCAAAGTAATAATTGCAGGTTCAATGTGAAGGCGGTTCTCCCTTTTTAAAATTAATTCAGTTTCCAACTTTAAAAAACAAGGTGTATACTTTGTTTTATCGAAGTCTTATAATATTGTAAATAGAAAAATTAGTTACAAACACATTGACTGTACAACTGTACAAGTAACATAGCTTATTCTTATTAGGTAAACCCCATAGCATATCACTTCTTCTACAAATAGTTTAGACACACAGATTAGTTACATCATGTTCTTAGGTTTACAAAAAGACCCTTGCCACTCCATATAAAATCTCCTAAGTCTTTGAAATGTCTAAAGCTGTATCAGTCTGCTTTATTTGTAACCTCTTACCCAAGACCTTATACTCTCCCCTTTTTATCACAGCTCGATGCCAGGAGAATATGTTTCTTCATTCCTTTTATTTCGCTTAAAAATTTCCGTATGTTTTAATTTTGCGTCAGGTTCTATGGCCATTTTGGATGGCCCAGTCAAGCGTCATACACTAACATGTTTAAAGCTGGTCATAAGCTAAAACTAAGCTTGTTATACAAAAAAGAGAAAAACCTTCATGGTGACGAGTGAACACGTGGTGGTGCCATACTGGCGTCATCTCCACGCTGTGTGCGCCATTTTTTAAACAAATGTTAACTCGTTTATTTAGTTACTTTTGGGATTTGGTCTCAACCATTAGTTTACCAGTAAGCCCGTTAGCATGGCTCTGATTACTAATTACCCAATTCAGCAATCAGTCCATATTATTAATAAAAACCCCAATAAGAATTAAATAAAGACCAGCTGACCTAATTGATGACGTAAATGAGATTGAAGATCCTTCTAAAAGTTAAATGAATGAGGATGATGCTCCATTGTTATGAAAAAATGATAATAGTTAAACTAGTAATAAACAACTAAAGAAATGGATATTTATAAGTCCAAAAAGTATCAAACACAAACAAGGTATGAACAGAAGCCATTCATCATCAGATGGCAAATCATCAACCAAAATATTTTCCTCATCATTGGTTAGGAATCTTAATTTAAGGTGTCCATCTTTCAGTCTCTTGTAAAACTTTAACCAATTCTAGGAAAACATGACCACCAACTTAGTACAAGAAGGAAGAGGAGAGGAGAGGAGAAGAAGAGTAGGACACATGTTTAATGTATGGGCTTTTTATTAAATACTACTTAAAATACACTAGGTCTTTTTTAAGTCACAACCCATTAAAAAGATAGAAACACAGGAACTCGTGCCTCAGAAAACGGCTCAAGGCATACGCCTTAACTTTTGAGGCGTAAGCTTCATGATCTACGAAAAAATCTAAGCCCTGATACCTTCTCTCTACGCTCACCTTAAGGCGCGCCTCAAAACTGACATATAAGTTACTTTAACTATTTTAACTCACATGTTTTGGTTAGAATGTGCAATTCAACGTTTTTGCTCAGTTTTTGGTGGTTGAATTATAGATTTCTAGTTTCTATAGTTCATATTTATAGTATTTATTTTTTGTGCCATGTGGCGACGCCATGAATGCGCCATAGCCATGGACAAATGCTTTTGCTCCATGACTGTCATCATGCGACATGACAACTATAGCTGGACTTTCTAAAACGCGTTCGTGTTTATTATTTGGGTTTCAGTTGCAAGTAAATAAGAATTTTACTTGCTAAGGAAACAATCCTTATGATTCCACTTTCTTGTGTAGTTTTTCAATAGCTCAACTCTACTGAGTTACAACTACCAATCAAATAAACTACATATTCAACACAAAACACATTACTTCACTCTTCAACTTTTTTATGTAGTAGGAATATATCCTGATGTAACTATTCTACCTAACTAACTAAATACTGTTAGCATTGTCACGTGTGTTAGACTGTTAGTTAAGAAGTTAGCAGTGCATTTTTCTTCTATAAATACATTGTAATGTAATACATTCAGTCTCAATAATAAACTGATTCTTCTTCTCACATTCTATCTCTGGTATATAATGCTTAATGCCTTAATATACCATCAACTCTTGTTCCACTTCTTTTCTTTCATACTTAGCTTACAAACTATTTGTTGTCAAGGAGTCTAGAGTGGCTATTACTTCTTTTTAGAGTTTTTTACTTTTTTTAACTTCACAATTTTCCACAGTTTCCCTTAAAGACCACATTGTACATATTCTCACATTGTTTAATATAAATTACATGGTTATGTTATTTCAATTTCTTTTCCATCATTTGCAATGGAGCCAAAGACCCACTATTTTTTGGCTTGGGAATATGATGAAATAAAGCAAAATGGCTCACGAAACTGTATGTGCTTCTTTCTTATGAAGCAGCAGTCAGTCCATGCAATTTTCAACGTGATTGTCACTATGGGTCATCCGGAAACAGTCTCTTTGTGCTTTAGTATAGGGGTAAGACCGCGTGCATCCGACCCCCCTAACCCCCCACCGTAGGTGGTAGCCTTTGCGGCACCAGGGTAATGATGATGATGATGATGATGTTATTTCTTTTTTGTCTAAGAGCTCAAAAAGAGTAGAAGAGAATTTGATGAGTATACGTTCAAATATTTCAACTATATTTTGTGAAAAATATTGAATATTAAATTAAAATTATAATAAAAAAAGTTAAATAGGTCAAAAGTACTATTGATAATTCTCATATATGTACGTATGTATATATGTGTATATATATGTATGTGTTTCATTATTTTCAAAATGTAAAAAAATCAATGGAGAAGTTAACACTGTTACACCCCAGTTTATTTTTGTGAAGCAGTTAACTAGTTGAGATCATTATTGTGAAGCACGGATTATTTTTGTTAAATGCGTAAAAGTAAGAGTTATTTGTGCCAATTTCGCCATTTTTAAATTTAGTTCACATTTGTGATAAGTGCATCTGTAGAGTGCATTGGGCACCAATCCCACATAGTGCGTGCGTTGCTAGTGTGTGTATATGTGTCTATAAAATCTACTTTTAAATGATACCCGCAAATACTCACTTAACGTGAGTAGTATATAAAAATCCTTTCAAATACATAATCGGATTTGGATAATGGATATCATTAGATTAAATCTTATATGATACCCGCAAATACTCACTTTTTATACCTATTTGATACCTAATGGCGTTTTAGTACACACTAAATTGTGTTACCATGGTTAGTTGGTTACATAACTTACATTGGTTCTTGTGGGAAAGTACGTCTTAAGTGTATGTGGAAAGAAATGAAATTTCACTAAAAATTAAAACCTTCAGTGACAGTTGTGTAGAACAGTTATTGCAAAAGCAATACTTTGCTTGCCCCTGCTCAGTTTATGCCTCGATGCGGTCAACCACTAAACCCCAGAGACCTAAGGAAAAAATAATCTGCTTTCTGTATGGCTGTTAGGAATTGAGCGACCACCTCACTCCCCCGTCACTTCCCGCTGCTGAACTATTATGTTACTTCCTCATTTCTTCATGAAAAGGATGAAGGCAATATTTTCTATATGTGAAGCAATTAAATATATGTACGAGTAGCTGTAGTTCATTTAAAACAAGATCGTCATGTTGATTGAACAATGGGTCTGAACAAGTTTGAAGATGGAATCATTGGACAAGCAAGTTGTGAATTGCTTGCAAGATGTTTTTCAAAAGCGTGAATGAATTGTATCATATTATTTCTTTTCTTGATTGAAATTAAACTTCGTGATACTTCATCCTCTGACATTCAATATATATATTAAGCAGCAGTAGGTAGCTAATGGATTTTAGTATAGAATTTCACTTGAAGATGTTGAATAGTACCGTTCAGTTGCTAGGGTCTCATTTCTATGATATTCAAAAATAGTATCAGTCCTTTAATCAATTGTGCACTGATCAGCTTGTTACTTCCCAGGGTTCCAGTCAGACCGAATGCAACATCTGGCTTCAATGATAAAGCTGTTAAAACATATCAGCCAATACACATTAATTAGAAAGAGTACATTGACATGCTCTTACAGTACAGCTGTTCGATCTCCTCTAATCTCCAGCCAAGGCCGTGTGGAGAAGATTGTATCTGCAGATCTAGGATCGCCCAAGTTTTCAAGAAAAGATGGTGAAGTTGAACACAAACGGAAAATAGGAGAACATGTTTCAAGAAAGGATAAGATCAGCATTCTGGTAGAGACGCTTCTAGACCTAAAAGATAGTAAAGAAGGTATCTACACTGCCCTGGATGCCTGGGTTGCATGGGAGCAGAACTTCCCAATTGGATCCCTAAAGCAGGTGTTACTGAAACTCGAGAAAGAGCAACAGTGGCATAGAGTTATCCAAGTCATAAAGTGGATTTTGAGCAAGGGGCAGGGCAACACTAGAGGTACTTATGCGCAGTTAATTCTAGCATTAGATATGGATCATAGGGCGAAGGAAGCACGTGAGATTTGGAGGAAAAACATTGGGTCGGACCTACATTCGGTGCCATGGTCATTGTGCAGTCTCATGATGTCAGTATATTATCGAAATGATATGCTGGAGGATCTTGTAAAGCTGTTCAAGGGCTTGGAAGCATTTGGGCGTAAACCGCCGGAGAAGTCTATAGTGCAGAAAGTTGCTGATGCATATGAAATGTTGGGCTTGTCCAAAGATAAAGAATGCGTGATGGAGAAGTACAAGGATCTCTTCACTGAGACACTGGATGGACGGTCCAAGAAATTTAAGGGATTTCGGGCCAAGAAGAAAGGAGAAGCAAAGGAAGATTGAGAATGTAGTTATTTAGTTATGTACGCTTCTGTACATCTTCATTCTTCGTCTTCTTGAAGTTAAGTAATCAATTATTTCAGCACATGCAACTGGCCCTAGTTTATGTGAGACCTTACCGAGGGATCAAGTGAACCTTTTTAAAATGAGAAACCTTTAACAACGTAAAATAATTACAAAAAAGACCTTTTTGAGTTCAAAATAATTATAGAAAAATACCATGTATGTTCTTAATCATTCATCATCATTACCATAGTGCCGCAAAGACTCCCACTTGTATGTAGTTTACTCCTGTACTAAAGCACAAAGAGGCTGTTTTCAGATGACCTATATTAAAATCGCGTCGAAAGTTTTATGGATTGACTATTGCTTCGTAACAAAGAAGCGCAGACAGTTTAGTGAGTCATTTTGCTTTATTCCATCATATTTCCATACAAAAAATAATGAGTCTTTGGCTACATTGCAAATGATGAAAAAGTGATACTCTCAGTGGCTACATCGCAAATGATGAAAAAATAATGAATGTTTGGCTACATTGTTCTAACTAGATTACAAGGATTAAACATAATTTCTTGATTGATGACAAGGATGAACAATTCACACTCCCCCTTGAATGTTCATCCTTGAATATGTATTTGTTATGTTAAAATTTATTATGAAAAATTAGCGTGAAAGTGAAGGGGCCAAGATCACGACTTATAGTGTCGTTGTATTTGGATGTACTGTGTCGTTAAAAACCTTATCAGGAAAAATTCAGTGGGATAAAAACCCGATGAAGGAAAAATGAGTGCAGTGCATTCAAACACCCCCCTGAACTTAGTAGAAATTATGAAGATGACGCATGCCGATTTTATGTACAAGTTCTATGAACTTCTTCGGGGGTAAAGATTTGGTGAATAGATCGGCCGAATTTTCACTGGATCTGATTTGTTGAATGTTGATCGTCTCTTCTTTCTCGGAATCGTGAGTAGAGAAAAATTTTGATGCTATGTATTTTGTTCTGTCTCCTTTGATGTAACCTTCTTTAATCTGAGCTATGCATGCAGTGTTGTCTTCATAGATCACAATAGGGTGAATAGTAATAGGCTTCATACCGCATTCATTTTGGATGTGTTGAATCATAGATCACAGTCGTACACATTCTCTTCCGGTTTCATATAGTGCAATTAACTCAGAATGATTTGATGATGTAGCTGTCAATGTCTGTTTCATAGATCTCCACGAGATTGCAGTGTTACCATAAGTAAATACGCACCCAGTTTGTGATTTCGCCTTTTGAGGATCTGATAAGTATCCATCGTCTGCATATCCAATTAAAGTGGCCTTTGCATCTTTGTGGTAGAATAGGCCAAGATCAACTGTACCACAAAGATAACGGAATATGTGCTTGACCCTGTTCCAATGACGTCTTGTTGGGCATGAGCTGTACCTAGCTAATAAATTTACAGAATATGCAATATCTGGTCTACTATTATTAGTTAAATACATTAAAGCTCCAATAGCACTCAGATATGATACTACGGGACCAAGTATTTCTTCATTGTCTTCTCGGGGACAGAATGGATCATCATCGTGTATGTTGAGAGAACGAACCACCATTGGGAAGTTAAAGGATGAACTTTGTCATTGTAATTGGATTGATGGATGAAAATTCCATTCTTCAAATGCTCAATTTGAAATCCGAGACAAAATTTGGTTTTCCCGAGATCTTTTATTTCAAATTCTTTCATAAGATAATTTGCAGTATTTTCAATTTGATTAGGAGTTCCAATAATGTTTAAGTCATCAACATATACTGCAATTATGGCGAATCCTGAAATTGATCGCCGAATGAAAACATATGGACTAATTGGATCATTCTTATAACCTTCTTTGAGAAGATATTCACTGAGACGATTATACCACATTCGTCCAGATTGTTTTAGTCCATACAATGACTTCTGTAATTTAATGGAAAACATGTCTCGAGGTTTTGAGCTATAAGCTTCAGGCATTTTAAATCCACCAGGAACTTTCATATAAATGTCTGTATCAAGTGAACCGTATAAATATGCAGTCACTACATCCATTAGACGGATTTGCAACCTTTCAAAAACAGACATGCCAATGAGAAACCTTAATGTAGTTGCATCAACTACTGGAGAATATGTTTCTTCATAATCAATTCCCGGCATTTGAGAAAATCTTTGAGCAACAAGTCGGGCTTTATATCTTACGATTTCGTTTTTCTCATTGCGTTTACGCACAAGAAAAATTCTAAAGGTACACACTTTTTGGTGTACACACTTTTTACACATGTCTATGTAAGGTTTTTTTTATGTCTGTACAGACATAACGTATTTTTAAAATACGTTATGTCTGTACAGACATAAAAAAAACCTTACACAGACATGTGTAAAAAGTGTGTACCCAAAAAGTGTGTACCCCAAGTCCAACTCTACGCACAAATACCCATTTAAAGCCCACTGGTTTTACACCTTTTGGCGTAGGAACTATCGGTCCAAAAACATCACGTTTTTCAAGTGATTTTAATTCAGCATGAATATCTTCATTTAAGGAAGTTGAATCATCATTTGAGATGTTTGTTTGGTCAATATCATTTTCTATGCTAATATTTTTAAATTGTTCATTTTCTTGTTCAGGAGGATGAAAATCTTTGGCATCACAGATTAATTCCTGCTTTTTAGTTTTTCTTGGTTTTATGTCTTTTGATCCAAGTGGCCTGCCACGCTTTTTGCGTATAGAGGAATCATTTGCAAGAGTTTTTTCAGAATTCTGTTGGGATTTCGATTCTGGCAGGAGCATTCATAGCAGGAGTATATGACTTTGTCACTTTCTTTATGTCTGTGAATACATCAGGTAACTGATTTGCAACATTTTGTAAATGGATTATTGATAGAGTATATGGGCCCAGACCCTGTGGCCCACATACTCAGAAGGTCAAACACCGAAGACCGCCACCACGTGGCATCGCATCGGCCAGATGGCACACCATCGGCCAGGACCAAAAGAGCTTAGATCACGGACCAAGAGCCAAAGGCCTAGGACCGCATCGGACGGACGGCTCCGACAGATTGTATTTCCATCCTTAGTCAAATAAACTATGTACCCAGCCCATTAATGGCCTTATTATGCCCAAAAGAGGCCTTATTATTGTAATGGGCCTCCTAAGCCCAAGGCTAGGAGGCCAAACTCACATTTACTCCTATAAATAGCCCCCTAGGGGGTACTTATAGGGGGTTGAGAAATATTAATTACTCACTTCTCTCTCTAGCTCTCATTTCTCTCTAGAATTTATACTGTATCATTTGGTGCTTTCATTGAGAGCAACAACGTATCAAGTGAGTACCCTTCGTAGCTATCAAACACGCTCGAATGAAATGGGAAGAACCAAGTCCAAGAATGCCCTCGGCAGAACCGTCCCCGAGACTCAGGAGGACCAGGAAAGGGCTGAGATGTTCGTGGCCGACAATGCGGCGGAGGAAGAGCCCGTCCTAGAGGCCGTTGACCCCGCTACAGACCTTCACAATCAGCTCAACAAGACCCTTCCTGACGCCCGCATTGGACTAGACAACAGATGCTCGGTTGACCACGTCTTGGCTCAACAGACACCTCCTGTTGACCCCCAGCTCTAGGCCGCGCTATCGGTCATCATTGCCAGCCTGGCCCAGAATCCGACCGCCTTAAGCGCTCTTGTGCCAAGGACGGGGGAGAACAACACACCTAAGACTAGGGAGATTGCAACGGCCCCACCGCCTCCTCCACAGCCTCATGTTGTCACCTTTCTCGGCAACAATGAGAACGTCATCGCTCAGGACACGGCGTCCCACATTGCCCCTCCTCCTCGTATTGAGTCGACCCCAGCTCGTGGTAAGAACTCGGCCTTTTTACAGGCTGGGTGACACGAGCCGTCGGCCTATAACGGGGAGGATGGTGGAGCGGCTGGGCGACCGTGAACCTAGGTCACCTAAGGAGAGTTTGGGGTCCGTCTCCCGGACAGCGGAACGACCCCGCATTGACAAAGGAAAGGGCAAGCTGCACAAGGAGGATGCACGCCATCAACCAGGCCCACGCTGCTCGCATTCAAACCCAACGGGGCGCCACTGCGGCTATCAGGGACCTAAGGGACCTGAGGGATGAGATGATTGCCCGCTTGGAGAAGCGCCTGGCCGAGATGGAGGCACGACAACTTGCGGGTACCGCCACGGCCAACAGCTCCCACCCTCCCAACTATGACATGATCCTACACAAGGTTAGCGCTCTCGAGAGGGAGTTGGCCGAGAGGCGCGGTGATCCCGTCGTCCAAATCAGAACAAAGACTCCGTTCACATAAAGGGTGCTTTCTATCCCCATTCCCGAAAAATATAGAGGAAACCCGATAAAACCTTATGACGGCTGAACCGATCCCGAGGAACACTTTAGCCGATATCAAAACAGCATGCTGATGGTGAACGCGTCAGATGAATACCTCTGCCGTTGGTTCCTCTCTACCCTTGAGGGACCGACATACGAATGATTTAACGCCCTACCCGAAAGTAGTGTGGACTCATGGCAGGACCTTGCGCAACACTTCCTCACCCATTTTGCGGGAAGGAAGCGAGCAAAGAAGCACTTCTCCCACCTCCTCACCATCAAACAATAACATGACAAACCACTCTGAAGTTTTTTGGACGAAAGGACGAGAGAGACGGACAAGGTGGAAGGGACTGATGACCGCACCCTCCTCGTCCTCCTCCAGGGCGTATTACGAAGCAGCCCATTCTCCAGAAGTCTTATAACCGAACCGCCCAGTTCGTATACGAGGGCGCTCCAAAGAAGCGGATTATACGCTGATGCTGACGAACTGCATTACCATAAAAAGGACGGGGGACAACAACAGAAGAAGGGCAGTCACCCTAACGTCCCGACAGACAAGCTGCAGGACCAGCACAGACTGTCCCGCCCCGGATCAGAAGGTCAACGCCGGGACAAACGTCAATGGCGCCCCAGCATTGACGCACCACGGACCCCCCCTCACGCATCCGGTGAGCGTCATCCTGGACTTCGTGGAGGGCAGCGGCCTCGTAGCTAAAGATCCCCTGCCCCGAAACAGAGATATATGTCGTCAACCAAGGTGGAACCTATTGCCGATATCATCGCAATACCACACATAACACTGATGACTGTGTCACGCTCCAAAAGCACATAGAGCGTCTTATCCAACGGGGAGAACTCTCCCAATTTGTTAAAGGTGGCCCACGAAGCAATAAGTGGGTAAATCCCGGCAAAGGGGGAGGAGAATCCTCGGCTCAAAAACGAGAAATCGGCAGGCTTAGTGATGAAGAAGAATGCGAGGAGCCTCAGCCGAAGAAACATCACATCCACATCATCGTGGGAGGTAAAACAGGGGGGATTCAGCAACCCAACGAAAAAAGTGGGCCCAATCCCTCTAG